AGCTGACTATGCCGAGACGCCGGTAACCACAGCCACTCGGTCTTGGACGGGTTGAGCCTGAGTCTGTTCCTCCCCATCCAGACTCTCACGGCCTCCAGACACCGGGTCATCACGTCAAGGGCATCGTTGGGGTCGCCCGGGGTGGATATGTACAGCTGAGTGTCGTCAGCGTACTGATGGAAATCCACCCCAAAGCCACAGTTGTGCTGCTTTTTGTACAAGTACTGTATGATTTATTTCTATTGTTTCATCTCCATAAACCAAATACAAAGCATCATGAGATTGGCAAACTGAGAATTGCTGCTGCAGGACAATCACCTCAAGAGCTCTGTTAACTCTCAGTAAAAACAGGCATTTGATGAAACACTCTGCAAGTTCCTGGGAAATCACAAAGCCCTTGGTAGAATCTGCTTATTATTCATTTGAGGTTTTGGCCCTTGGAGACGAACAAACAAAATAAGAATCTTCAAGAATCTAATGCAATCACAGAAATCCTAGCTTTAGAGTTGTCTTAATGCATTCTATTAGTAGAGATGGCTTTGTCAACAAATTATTGAGAGGAAGATGTCAATTACTTTTCAGGCAACTATATTAGTCTGGTTTCTATATGGGTTTAGAACTAAGCCAGATATTCTTTAGATATTTTGGTATGCAAATGAATCAAGAACTGTATGTCTTTCTCATTCATCATAACAGCTCTTACTCCTGGAAAAAAAAACCAGATCAGTAAGTATTGATGAATTGCAGGATTTGATGGAAATATGAGCTACAATTCTAAACATACAGTAAAATATCCTGTGAGAAACCTCTTTCTAAATACAGATGTTGCAGCCATGGTATTAATTTTCATGTTTAAACCTGAATACAGAAAGCCACCAGGTTTAATTGGCAACAGACAGCAGCAAGTCAAATGTTTCTGCTCACAGGGCTGGGCAACTGAACGAATTACAATCAAGAAAGAACTATGCCCCCATTTCTATGCAGCAAAGAAATCTGTTCCAGTAATACAGATCATTTAGAATGGCTGCCAATAATGTTACACAAATATATCCAAGCAGAATAGTGAGGTCAAAGCTCAATTTGAAGGTATCTTTATCTTTACCTTTACTATTGGAATATGAATTGATCATTGGCATTAAAATATAATAAAGCATGATTCATCTGGGAATGCATAAAGGCTCACCTTGCTGCTTTCTGAGTAAGCTCCACAGGAAAGTCAGGGCAAAGCAGTTGCAGTAAGCA